GGAGCCAGTGAAAAGGAAGGAAGGAAGGAGAGAGAGGGAAGCAGAAAGGAAGGAGAGACAGAAAGTGCGAGAGACGGGAATCGCGTGCGCTAGCACTCGCGCGTGAGGGGAAGAGAAGGAGGGAGGAAGGAGGGAGAGAAAGTGGTAAATAACATAGAGAGAGGGACAAAGAGGAAGAGACAAAGAGAGAGAGAGAGAGAGAGAGTGAAAAGGACAGAAATATGCTATGTTCAAAAATATTTATAAGATTAATTTTTTAACGAAACAATCGATAGAACTACAATCATTTTGCTTTAATATCGATTAAGTTAAAATGAGATTAAATGGTTCAATCTTTACGTGGGTGTGACGTCAGCTTTATCTCGTATACAAGAATCTTTGCTGATCGCTTCCTTTATGATGATGGCGTTGATGGCGTTGATGGCTAAATTCGCCGCCAACGTGAAGGTTCAGGACTAGAAAAACCTGATCCCGTCATCCATTTCCTATTGCTGTTTGGTTTTGTAGGAGTTAGATGTGATTTTGTTTATTGGACATCACCTTGCCAGGATGTGAACCACACACATTATTTCATAACCTTCCTCTGCGAAACATATGGAATCCAGTTATGAAAATGCACCGAACTGCCGCTGACGCTGTTATAATTTCGATTGGCGCCTTCTGTAGCATGTCCGTCATGCGTAGTCCTCTTCAGCTGTTCATAATCGTCATCCGCCTGTTGGAGTATTTGAAGTTGGTCACGCTCAGTCTGGGTCCTCGTCTTTGACTTTGCCGCCAAGGGTGGCTCTACCAGGAGTTTAGAACTCACGACGGCATCGCACTTATAGTGATAGGGCCACGCAAACCACTTCACCGCGACAAGAAGGGATCATCATACATATGTTCTCATATATCTGATCATAATTTTATTCATTTCTTATTTCTTATTTATTGTTTAGTTTCTGAAGTAATAATAATTTGGTACATTTGATGACGAACTGTTTACTCTGACATCCAATGTAAAATATATATGTGTTTATGCGTGAATGTTTCTATGTGTGTGGTGGGTGTAAAACACTGGCAAACCTTATTTTTACTAGTTTCAAACATATATTCCTTTTACTTTTCTTCTTACGAATTCAACCCAAATTCTTTTGAATCTGGCTTTCGATTCGAGACGTACATATCTTTCTGTTTAATATAGGAAATACTTAATAAATATTGTGATATTAACGACAATTTAACATTTTTTCCTATTTGATCTCCAAACAGACGATTTCGTTCTCTTTCAAAATATAACTTTTAAAATTAAAATGGACCATTAATGAAATGCCTGCAGGAAATTCCCATTTATTCAAAAAGCGAAAATTGTTTACTTTTTAAATTATGCATCTGTGAGTGTCGGTCAAAAAGTGATATTTATTTCTTTTTAATGAGAACTTTCCTAATAAGAGAAGCATACAAAGCATGCCAAAATGTACACATATATCACATGACTCCAAATGGTTCTCCTAACATAACCTCCTTCTATATCTGTCTATATCTCCGAGATGAGGTATTACAATTAATTACATCATTGACATTATTCGGACTGTTACCCTCATCTTCATTGACATCTTCAGAAGGTCTCGGGCGTTGTAAACTCCAGCCTTCTTCAGGTGATTGGAATTTCGAACCGAACCCTTTATTTTGTCCACCGAGGAAGACTGTTCTAGTTCCACCTGCCATGCCTCTTCCTGATGTCTCAGTTATTTCCCTCTAAGTTTTTTTTTTTTTTTTTGGTTTACCACTACTCTAGCCTGATATTGAACTCACAACTCTTTGCGTCTAGACACTGAATCTAACCACCCTCTTTATCCACAAGGCCTAGTGAATAAAATAATCACCTTTCTTTTCAATCCTGTTAAGAAGACGTTCAAAAAGTAACCCTTGTTATTATTTAAACCTGATGATCCGCGTAGCTTTGTCAATACACACATACAGGGTGTTGCAACAAAATCCGATTATTGACAAAAAGAAAACGAAATAGGCAATAAAAACCAAAATTGTATATGCAGATATCAGACAATTTGACAACTAACTAACGTTTTTCTCTCCACCTATTTCCAGGATGTAATATGAGCGCAGAGCAGAGGTAGTGGCGTCTTTTCGCGTCGGGTTTAGGTTCAAGAGGACCATGGTCATGGATATTTGGAGGAAGTGGAAGGCGTGTGAGAACAAGGACGACTTTCCTGCCAAACGAAAGGCCCACAACGTTCGTTCTTTGGCCGTTAGGACCGGCGATTTCGTCACATCACTCAAGGAGACAGTCGACAATGATGGAAGCCAGAGCTACGCAGAGATCGCCGCTGACATGGACTATCAAAAGTCGATGATCTGCGGAACAACAAGAAGGACATTGGTTACTCCTCCTACCGCAAATCTCACCGCATGCTCATCACGAATGTTTGTAAGGAGTCAAGAAAGGTCAAGGCTGTGGTTTTGCAGAACGAGCTCAAGTACAGGTCCGCCGGGATGCTGAAGTTCTTCTCTGATGAAAATAATTTCACCCAGGACCAGACAGTTGGATCTGCAAAGACATCGAGGAGGTTGCCGTCGTGAAGCATACGAAGTTTCCCTCCTCTGTCACGGTCCTTGGCGTCATCTTCCGTTCTTCTTTCAAAAGGGCCTGAGAGTCACTGCTGAGATCTAACAGGAGGTGCTGAGGAGCGGTGAAGCCCTTGATGGACGAGATCGCCGCCGGCTCCCTCTACGTTTTCGAGCAAGAAACCGCTCTTGCACAAAAGGCGAAGACGACCAAGGCGTGGCTGCTCAACAATGTTCCTGACCACTGGCCTCCGGACTTGTGGCCACCCTCCTCACCCGACTGCAACCCCCTTAACTATTTCTTCTGGGGCGTGATCGAGGCCAAGACCAACAAGCACGCCAACAACACGGTCAACACTCTGAAGGGTGCCATCGTTGAGGCGTTCGCCGCTGTGAACAAGTACATGGTCGCCAAAGGGTGTGACTCATTTCACGCCCTCCTTGAGATGGTCATCGCCGGCGCCGGCGTTTACATTGAAAATAACGTAGTATATAATTCTAACTGATGCTAAAAAAAACTGTTGGGTCCCTTTATACACTAATTTTATTTTTATTGCCTATTTTGTTTTCTTTTTGTCACGTGTCGGATTTTGCCCAACACCCCTTATATACATTTTAGCTCTATCACTGATATTGAGCGTTTCAATAAGTACTGCATATATATATATATATATATATATATACATGCATACATACACACAGACACACACACACACACACACACACACACACACACACACACACACACACATATATATATATATATATATATATATATATATATATATATATATATTTTCACCCCAAGGAACGCGGGAATGCCTTTGGTACGCAAGTGGTTAAAGAGAGTTCAGGTGATAGGAAAGACTGGGCAAGGTGGACCGAGAAAAAGATAAAAGTTGAATGGGCTTCAAGAAGATGGCGATTGACGTTGCCTTTAAATTTTTGAAGATTGTAGTTATCAGTGAAGCAAGGAAACGGGGGTAGAAATGAAACTGTTTGAGTCGAAGTGGCGGTTACATTTAACTACTTCAGCAGCAATGAAGATGGGACCGAGATGCCAGTCTGGTAGCGCACCTAAACACACGTAGATTTGGCAACGGGGGAAAAAGCTCGTCAGAGCATTTGCCATGAAAATAATTTTTGAAAAGTCAGATGGAAGCCACGCCACGTTGGTAAGAAAAGGATTGAATTCGAGATGCTAAGTTAGGATCGATTACATTACAGATCATTCTTTGGATTTTGTCAAGAACATCGAGACGATTAGGAAGAGTACCAAACCAGATATGGCAACAGTATTCAATGCACGGACGAATGGTATACTTGTAAATGTGCAAGATGGACTCTGACGAGAAAAACCTTCTGGCACAACACACTGACCAAACATTCTTTGCTATAAATGCAGCTATTGACTCAATGTAGTTATTCCACATCCAGTCAGTTGAAAACATGAGTCCAAGAAGGCGCAGTGCGTCATCCATGATGATGGCATGCAGAAAAGTTCCAATATAGTGATTAAATGAGAGCAGTTTTGTTTTGGAGGCGTTAAAAATTTACAAGTTATTTTCTGTCCCCAGTTTTTTGCTCCGCTGATTAGAGGTCATTTTCAAGGGCAACAGTCAGGTTTACTTTGTTAACGCTCTTGGATTTACTTTTGAGATAATAGTAGTTTCATCTGCATCAATCCTTATTTGGCAATTGATGACATCAGGAAGATCATTGATGAAGATCAGAAACAGCGTAGGACGCAGGACAGAGCCTTGGGGGACATAAGGAAATTATTGTGACGTTTGCAGATAGAAGATTTATTTAACGTTTTATTTTTACCGTCCGAAACAATGTAAATAACAATCGAGGTATAAATAAAAATAAACACAACATTAATTGATTTTATTATGTACAGATATACCCTGTTATATGTAATATGAAAATTCCATTAAAAGTATAATTTATTCAAAACAATATATAATTTATATATTATAAATATAGAAATATATATAGAAATATATAATTTATGCAATGCAATGCCCAATAGCCACACAGTGTAGATGAATAATAAACAATTTAAAAATTTAACTTAATTAAAGAGGTTTGGACGCAGCTGGGTTCCTTCCCAAATCGAACCCGTAGCCCTCGACCATGGTGATGGAAAGCGGCCGGATGGCATTACCATTTTCCCTTTTAAAAGGGTTCAGTTCGACATTCCAACCACCTGAAGAAGGCCGGAGCGTACAACGGCCGAAACGTTGTAATAAATATGGTGACAAAGATGAGGACACATTTTACTAATTAACCCATAACTGGGGGAGAAGTGTTAGATTCATATCTTATACAATGGTATTTGCGCATAAGTAAATATAACGAACATGACTAGAATTATTCTTTACACCACCCTCACACCTTACGCACCTAGTAGTCCAAGCGGTCACTCAAATAGCCACTGACAGGCTCGACGTTCCTTAACTTCGGTGGTCGTACGAGTACCGGTGTTTCATGTGTTGTGGCTATAAACCTGCAAAATTAAGTCTCCTAGAAAAAATGCCACTTTATTTGTTATGTTAATCAGTCAGTTATGTGTCATGCGTGATAAACGCATATCTTTCAATACATGACTGACGAGGCAGATTTTTTTTCCCGCAATAGGTTCTGCGGTAGACCAGTTGCCATCCAAGGCTATAGAAGCCGGTCTGTCCTGATATTTACAATAGCAGATGGGGGTTGAAGAAGAAGAGGATTTATACCTTTCCCAAGGTTCAGTCAGTTATGTGCCATGTGTGATACACGCTTAGGTGATCCTGTATCTTTCGATACATGACTGACGAGGCAGATTTTTTCCCGCAGTAGGTTTCCATTTCTTTCTGCGGTAGACCAATTGCCATCCAAGGCTATAAAACACGGTCTGTCCTGCTATTTACAATAGCAGATAGCGATTGGAGAAGAAGAGGATGTATACCTTTCCCAAGGTTCAGTCAGTTATGTGCCATGTGTGGTACACGCTAGGCAATCATGTATCTTTCGATACATGACTGACGAGGCAGATTTTTTTTCCCGCAGTAGATTTCCATTTCTTTCTGCAGTAGACCAGTTGCCATCCAAGGCTATAGAAGCCGTCCTGTCCTGCTATTTACCATCGCTGGGTGGGGAGAAGAAGAGTATTTATACCTTTCCCAAGGTTCAGTCAGTTATGTGCCATGTGTGATACACGCATAGGCAATCATGTATCTTTCGATGCATGACTGACGAGGCAGATTTTTTGCCGCAGTAAGTTGCTACTTCTTTCTGCGGTAGACCAGTTGCCATCCAAGGCTATAGAACCCGGTCTGTCTTACTATTTAACCATAACTGGGGGGGGGGAGAAGAAAAGGATTCATACTTTCCCAAGGGTATTAGCACATAAGTGAATGTAATGGATTCGACTTAAATTCGAACTCAGCTCGCCGATTCCTCAATACGAGCCGCTATCCATTACTCCACCGTGCCTCGTTGTTATGTAATTACCAGTTTGAATAACAGCAATTACCGGCAGGAAAAAGAGACCTGAGAAGCCGAGTTCAAATTGCAGCCCTGTGTACTGTGATCACTTTCGCATTTATGATCTTCGGGTACGGATGAATCTTTCTCTCTCCTCCCCATTTGCTTAAATAGCGCGTTTGACCGGGATCGCTAAAGTTGGTGAGCAGCTTTTCTAGAAGGACTATTCTGAATAGTGGAGAAGACAATGTAAATCTATTACATCATCAAATAGAATATGTAGGGTCATCAGTATCTTGGTCCTGAAATGATATGGTGTTTAAAAAATGCCAAATCGACCATTTCCTAACGTTAAAATGTCTGGCGGCAAAAACGTTTACCGACAAAATGTCTGAGGCCCTAAAAGGTTGCGTGCGCAATCATCTTAATTACACTTGAGTGCCCATAGAATTTGGCCTCCTGAAAATAAACGAGCCTTCCTCAGAGGATGTCATCCGGGTAATAGAATGTATGTAAGATTTTTTTTCTTATCAGACACAAGTGTTCATATCTCTTCCCAGGCGATGAGATATCGTGGCAATTCCTAAAATTATGTTATATCGGTCATTTATGGTGAGTTTATTCGATTTTCAGTATCGATTTGATATTGGCGGTTGTTGGTTGTAGTACTGCTTGATTTGAAAGGCCAGTCATCGGTCAGTAGGATTAATGTCCGGTTACAGAGAATTGGTAAGTAGCCTTGGTCATCAACATTGATCAATGTTTTGATTTTGAGAAACAAACAGTCTACAATAGCGTACGAGAAGAGATGTGAATTGAACGATTTTATTCTCCATATATTTACTTCAAACAATATATATATATATATATATATATATATAGTTTATGCAAAACTAGGTAATCCGTATGGGTAGACCCAAGGAGGATGATATCCGGAGAGCTCAATGTAAATTCAGAACAAATATGTTTGAATAAAAAACAGACCACTTTGAGGTTCTATGCAATAAATTATTTCCTCTTCACCACTTACCCATCCATATCTAAAGATAACATGAGTCAAGTTAAGCGATGTCTGGCCCACACCAAGTGGGGTTAGGGATAAAGAATTGAAATGGTACATCTAACTCACTCATGTCTTCTCTCCCCCCTCACTTCCTCACTTCGTCTTCAATCCCCCCTTACTTCACCACTTCGTTAATTTACATATGCTTAATACGGCCCGTCAAAAATGTGTAAATTTCTTTTCATTTTTCATTTCAACCTTTGGAAGTAAAGTCTGATGATTCAGAGCCCTTTGAAGGGCTGTGGTGAAATAATTTATTACATGGAACCTTAAAGTGATCTGTTTTTTATTCATATATATATATATATATATATATATATATATATATATATATATATATATATATATATTATTAAATGAAATGAACTAAATCCGGCAATTATTTAATATATTTTCTGTTT